CTGTCCGGAACCACGGCTGTGCCGATTGACCGACGCACAGCTATTCCCCCTCGCATTAAATATTCACGCACTCGTACGTATTGGTCTGCGACATGAATTAGAATGCGGGAACAGCGACCAGGCAGTACAGACAATGCAGCCTAGTGGGCAGCGAGGGGAAGGACGAAAGGACCAGTGACGGTGTTCACTTTGTAGATGTATGCAACCCCCGGGCGCGCGATGCCTCTCCCCCGAACGCACGAGAGCGTTTGCATCGCGCGGTCTGCAGCTCCGGGTCGCCGTTCGCGCGTTCCAGCTCATATCGATGGCTACTGTACTACAAAGATGGATTAAAATACGAACAGCGGAGTGAATGGCTTTCGGTACATATAGCGCAGCCAGGCGACGAGCTGACGCAGATTGCGCGTGCGCAGTGAGACCAGGGGTGCGAGGATTCGTGTCTATACTTAGTTTCAGCTCAAGTCCAGACGCAGTCGACGCTACGAACTGATAGGACCAATCAAGCAGCTTCAAAAGTGAAACTCACTGCGCCTTGTTGTTCATGTTTGGTTCAGCGATTTCAGAACACGTACAGTCTCCTGCAATATAAAAGACCCACTGGGAGCGCGTGACCGAGATGGCGGCGGGAAGGGGGGGGGGGGGGGGTTAGCGCGTTTCGGACGATTCCATTCTGCCTCAAGGGGAGGACACACGTTTGGGGCCCAACTGAGCCTGAACGCGCTTCAAGGGCAACTCCGGTCATTATTTTCAAATTTGGGATTACGACTGTTTTCAGCTAAATCAGTGTCCCGGAAGTCCAACGTGGAATGTTTTTTTTGTTTCGGTATTGTGTGGAGTTTTATAAATATCACGGCTCAGTGTTTGGTTGCGGGCGTCTACGGCAAAACGGAAACTATCTGCTAGGGGGATGGCAACACTTATTATCAGCCGCAGGTCAGGTGGCGCCAGCTGCCGCCCGTTACAAAGGGTATAGCCATTAATTAGCATCCATCCATCCATCTGGCAACGATGTGACGACACAAGGGGGCCGCGGTAGGCGGTACTACCAATGAGCCACAGCTCCACCGCGACGTGGCGTCACATGGGTGCTGCGCCGCTATTCCTAGACTAAAAGCTAACCCGCCTGGCCCGCGCTAAAGAGCAGCTTGTCGCATCTTTAAAATGGGTTTTAGTGCAGTACACGGTTTCAGTTAGACGAATATTTTGTCTGATCACATTTTGTGCCACTAAAGCGATGCCAGTCATTTATTTTGGTTTCGTTTTAACAGGAGTTGCGCTTTAACAGATTTTGGTTTCCGTTCAGCGGAAGAGCGCGCTTCATCGGCCTCGGGCCAAGAGATAGGGTCACGAAGGCTAGAAACAAGCAGAGTCATCACTGTTCTTTCAATCAGTGGAAGCTCTCAGAACAGGCACTGTCAAATAAATATTACACTTGTACTGAAGTCCTATATTTAAAAGATATGCAGAGTTGAAGAGCGCATTTGTTGGTGAGAAGGATGGCACGGATCCCACGCTTTAACAGACAGAATAATCGCATTAGCTCAGACCTGTCTCTCATTGGTGGCAATCGTGGCGTTTGTAGGACATAGCCAAGAAAGAGCATGACACTGACGAACTGCTTTTTGCCTTTCGCCTTGAAACTGATATCCAAAACTTTATATACCCCTCCCCCCCTCACCGAGCGAGTCCTACCATCGGGGCAGAATGGAATCGCCCGGAGCGCGTGCAGCGCCCCACTGACCACCGTCCGCCACCACCTTTTAACTACGTTACCGCTACTCGAATTAAGTAACGTGCTGCCGTCAACACTGCATATAATACAGCCCAAAACTACGTCGGCGTACAGCGTACTGGCTTCAAACTGACGTCCCCAACTTTTACGAGGGGGCTTGATAACAGCGCGATATAACATATTGAACAGCTAAAGTACGTATAAAAGACTACAGAAAAAAAGAAGATGAAAAAAGGAGCGCCGAGGATTTTAAGTAGGTCCAAAAGAACCCCATTATTCCTTTTTTTTTTTTTTTTTTTTTGCAGTTAGTGACACGTACCGTTTCCAGATCGAACGCCCACCGGCCGGGAGATCAGCGCCTTTTCGCGGCGTGAAAGGGTAGGTCTGCGAGACTGCACGCGCGTCTGGCACAAGGCAAACGCCTAGCCTCGCTGACTTGCTGTTTCACGCCGCGACCTACCGGCCGGTCAACGTCCGTGCAATATTGTAAAAAAAAAAGAAAGCATCTGCTGACTGTAGGATTTAGCTATTTAATAAGTTGAAACGCTCGGCTATCAAGCCGCTCGTAAAAGTTGGTGCTGTCGGTTAGACGTCAGTGCGCTGTACGTCCAACTAAAGTTTTGGGGGCTATTATAGGGGATAAGGGGCGGAAGACTATACCCATGTTTTGTTTTAGAATGAAGGCATGATAAGGAGGAACACGGACCCTCGTGCCTTTTGTATTGCTACGTAGGCGCAACCTTTGGCGGCCAGTCGCCAGGCTGAGCGGCATGTACCGAAGGGCACACGCTCCGTTCTTCGTATTTCGATTATCTTGAGTGCAATTCAGTGTGCATTAAAAGAAAGCTTCGATTATATGGCATTACGTAGAACACATGAAGCACCAAGAAACCTAAATAAGTGTTCGATTGCAACTTGAAGTCGATTCACACACTGAACGAATGCAGTTTTTAATATTTCTGTGATATGATGCGCCGTCACGAGTTTCGATTGCGCGGTTTTTATTAAGACTATACGACTTTTTATTCTGAATAGCCGTTTACAGTTGCTCCCAAGCTACAGTTTGATGAATTCGTAAACGTGCTAACGTTAAAAGCATCCAGATAAAAAGCGTTTCACGCGATTCAAACACCACATTCAGGAGTTTGAAAAAACTTTTCCGAGGTTGGATCGACATATACATTTAAAGCAGCGTCTATTCTCCCGGCAGCCGAGACAATAATTTCCCGATATTCTACAGGCATTCGCCTCCCATTGGCTGTCTGAAATCATATGACAACTGCCGGTAGAATGCTGACTTTCTTATTCTACCGGTATTTCGTGGTAACACGTTTCATGGGCGCTAAACACGCTTCATGAACGTTTCACAAACGCGTTCGCTAAAATGTCATTCGAAGCTTCGCGGCGAATGAAGCTTTAGAGAACTGCGACGTTTTAACGCAGACGCGTAGCAGGGGCGCGTGTTAATCCTCCCCTGCGCGCTGCGCTTACGACGCTTCGCGGCGGCAATCTGTGGCGGCTTATTACAAAAAGGTTGACCTACCTGTGCCCACCCGTACACGCCGCTTCGAGGCGACAGTCTGGTAGAGCTCATTAGAGAAATAAAACCCAATCTGAGCTGTCGATGGACCAATGGAGGCAACTGCCGATAGAATTTCGGGGAAATTATTCTGCCGACTGCCGGGAGAATAGACACTACTTAAATTTAAAGAGCGGTCTGGCGTCTGAGACTTTTTACCGCAAAAGCATTTCTCAATGCGGAGGAAAAAACATTTTCTCCGATAGGCCGAACATTTTTATATCAGTCCTATAGAGACAGAGAAAAAATGTGCTCCTATAGGAGGAGCCAGGTAATTGCTAGTCACACTTCAGCCATAAATGTAAAAATAATTCCGCGGGAGAAAGTATAAGTCAACTTTTTACTGTAATCCATAAAGCGGGTAGGTCAATTGCGGACCGAAAGTAGAATCAAGACATGGTAGAAGAATAACTTACTCGATTATGTCGGCCAGATCAACGCAGCCGATCTCGAGTCTCAAGGATGTCATGTTGTGGCCGACTGCGCGGAACACCGGTCGAAGTTCGGTGGCAATGTCGTTCGCCGCGATGACAGGACTTAAAGAGAGCGACAAACGGCTGAGGTGTCTGAGGAACCGGAGGAGGGAGACGTCCTCTTCTCCGAACAGATCCACGTGGATGCAGGTGATCAGCGGACACACTTTGACGACGTGCTCCAAGAAGGTGGGCGCCCAGCGAGCCTTCCCGTTCTGCTCGGCGTAGTCGGTAAGCGACAACTGCATCGTCGAGGGAATGCGCAGTACCTCGCGCGTCAAGTTATCGTACCTGAAAACGCGCAGGTGTGGAAGGCTAAGGAGACCTTGCGCGTGGTGGGCATCTGGGTCCGTGTCGGCGGCGGTGCAGTCAATCACGAGCTCTTCCAGTCTTGTGCACGCAGTGAACATGTCCAAACACCGTTCATCGAAGCTCAGGCTGCTCAGCGTGACTTCAGTTAATAGGGCGCAGTTGTTCGTGATACCGGCTATTAAAGTTTCCGTGATGTCCGCCAAGCGTAGGGTCAACTTGACTAGGAAAGGAAGTTGCTGGAGAGTGCAGATCACTGTCGGAACGAGGTTGTCGGACATGATGGGGAGGAAATGTAGTTCCTCGAGTATGTCCCCCTTCGTGCCAATCTGCGTGAGGTGTCGTTCACTGTCGGCGTCACTCTCGGACCAGAGGGAGATCACTATGCACCTCAGCGTGTGCTTGGAACCTAAAACGTGGTGCAGACAAGGCAAATAGTGAGACAGCCTTGGCTCGATGAAGTCAAATATGCCTTGGTCCACCTCCTGCGTCATTGTGTGGCCGGTGCACATCTGGTTGATGTTTCTGGCGATGTGTTCCATGCAGAGTGCCTTCAGAGGCCTCGCTGTCTTGAACAAGGGCATGTCGTCTGCAGTCTTGTAAAGAGAGCTAGTCCTTGATGCGTGCTGGCCTGCGAAAGGAACACTGCCCAACTGAAAAGCCGAACCAGGCTGCGTACCTTCAGCGGCCCACTGGCCGCGAAGAGCAGTTGGCGCTAGCAGCGGTCGTATCCGCAGACAGCGGGAATCAAACGTGATAAAACGTAGCTTATTCATGGCACGTCCTGTATCTATCCTTATTGTTGCCACTTTAGACAACATAAAAAGAAAGGAACGGCAGTGTTTTTTTCTCTAGTCCAAAGATATAAGTTTCTATATCATCGCTTGAGATGAAATAGCCAGTCACTATGACTGGCGATTTCATCATTTTCATGACTGGCATTAACAGGGCTTTAAATCGCGCACCGACACACGTGGGCGTGGTGTTTAAATGTTTCTTCCAATTGGGACTCCCGCGACCTTAACTCTAATACGTTGTTTAGACATCTTCAATGAAATACGAAATTGCCGAAATCGGATTAGAGTTGTAGGTTTCCTTATCTACCCTTTCATCACGCGCCAGATTAGAGCTGCCATAGCTGACCCTTTCCTGTATTACGTATATGCCCAGTCATCGAAGAGGGTTTTGACGAGCCTGCGAAAAATTGGTCGGAGCATAGATGTACTATGCTGCTTACATTTCCTGTGGGTCGCACTAAAGTCACTGGATCCTGGGAAAGTAAGGTTATGGCCTTCCCTGCCTGCTAGCCGGACAGATACAGACGACCAAAACCTCGCAAGGTGATTGGCTGATCGGGGTCCATTGCTCTCAATCGCACTTCGGCCCGTTCGTATCTCGAAGTTTCGAGAAAGTCGTTCTATACCACTCGTACCAAGATCGCCGTAGAGCACCACCATTAAGCACAGATGTGCTTAATAGATAAGTTGATTGCGTATGCAATCAACTTATCCATTAAGTACATCTCCACGGATTTCTTATGATGATAATGTTCTTCGTGCGTATTGAAATATTAGAAAATCATTTTAAATGACTCTAAGCACCGACACCGTATGTGCTGGTGGCACGAAGATATACGCTTGTTTCGCCAATGTGTGGATAGCGAAATCTCGGTATGGAAGAAACGTCGCCATAAAGCCGCCCACCACCAGCGAAATTAGATTCACTCACCCATAACGAAGAGGTCAGAGATAAATTGATCTTTTCATAAGCCACAATGGCAACCATACCGGGAGCTTGGCGCTACTTTCCCAGGCTCTAGTGACAGTCTAGTGTTTTTGCGATAGTAATTCAGCCTGACGTTCCCTTAGACAAATTCACTTTTTTCGGTTTTGCTCGGAGACGACTTAAGGTGCTTTCATGTTTAGTTTTGTTTACGAATGACATCATTGCAAGAAAACCGTGTTTCTCGCTTTTGTTAGCAGACGAACCGTCTGCGAACGATATCTTGGCTCGGTCAGCGAGAGGACAATTAGATCTGGCTCTCGCTTTCGCAGTGAACAAAATCCAACCCCAGGAGCGTGCCCACGGGAGCCGGCGATAGGAATAGCTCAATATTGATGATGTTAAAGGAGCTGTGCAACGATATTCAATTGGAATGTTTTTCTCTCTAAACGAGCTTACTGGCACACCTGGGACTCAAGGATACTCACACGCAACGCCATTGGCCAAGAAACTTCTTCGTTGCGGTGTAATTTCAGGGACAAAAGCGATCATTTTCATTCCATCTCTCCTTTGCAAAATTTGATGACGTAACTCGGGGATCGCAGTACACCCAAGTGACGATATTTGAATGCGGTTCATAGATTGGACCCGAGCATTGCGTGGGCACTCGACTTGGGCTCGTGACAATTGCTAGCTCGAGAAGCATTCGGGTTGTGACCGGTGTCCAATCGCTGCAACCACGACAACAGCCGAGCCATAACAATGTGTGGAACTCAGCGCGTGTCCTGCGCTTTGCCAACCCCAGCGCGTGGCTACGATCAACACTGGCGGCATATAATCAGCTCCAGATCACGTGGCCGCTTGTTCTGGCTGCGAGTTGAGGGGGTGAACGCTGTTCGTTTTTCTTTAATTTTTTTCTGGGACTTCTATTGCGTGGGGTGAAAAACGAACGCGTGTTTCATAGGTCATTAACATTAGGGATCCGTTTTAAGCGATATTTGTGCACAGTACAAAAATTGTTGCATCGCTCCTTTAAGCTGCTCGCGGTGAAAGGCCTCTCGATTTCCATGGCAGTCGTCGTACATAGGCTGCACTTTATTCTGTAGCCTTAAAAGCTGTTGATAATTTCCAATTTTGGTAGTGCCCTGTACCAAAATGCCGTACGTGATATCGGAGTAGAACAAGGAATGATACAGGCAGTTTTACAACCAGAGCCGCCTTAGATATGTTATTTCGTACATGCAACCGGGATATATTCATTTTTGTGTTTTTTTTTAGTTGAGTGGTTGAAGTATTTATTCCATTTGAGCTCGTCGTACGACCAGACGGCAAGAGGTATTTGTTCTTCACTTATTCTATGATGATATCGTAAAAGTTTATGCTAATTTCGTAATAATGACGTTTGTTTAATGACTGAAGGTTTAATGTTGTCACGAATGAAAATTATAGAGGAGACGAATGACCGAAGGAAACTAAACGTTAAATCGGGCAAACTTGTGCCCAAAACAAAATAGAAGAAGGCTAGTTTCCCATGCTTTGAAAGCGTTTTAACAGCAGGATCGAGCGCTGGGGCGAAACTTGCTCCGGGTCGCCACTCGGAGCCTCTTATGTACACGCGTGGGCTTCTAAAACAATCGGTGTCGAAGGTTCGAGGCGTAGAACATTTGGACCTCGAATATGCAACAGGGCTCTCGAAATGACTAAAATGCGACTTTTACTGAAACAACAAAAAGGCGCATTCGCGGCCCTTTGTGTGGAAACCAAGCGCGATAACCATACGGCCACGGGCCCGCTTCCTCAGAAACGCGCGTAGCATTAATACATATTTGGTATTAGATGCATCAACATGCAGTTTATATGATGCTACCATTCCGAAAAATTCACCAACTGTTGGCCATTTTATCGTGCAGTTACTTGGTCGCTTTAATAAAGAAAACATTCGTATCATCTGCACACATGACTATGTACGGATAATTTTTAATATGGACGATATATTTACTATGCAATAAAAATAAGAATAGACGCATAATGAAGCCATGTGGCACGCCATGTTTTATTAGGAGCTCAGTTCAGAATGTTTACAGCATCAACATATTGATAGAGATTTTTAGATAATTTCTTCTTGGGCGTAAAACTATTCCCCGAATACGAAACTGCTCAAGTTTTCCTAATAAAAAAACGTTGCACCGTGTCAAACGCATTTTAAACTATAAAGAAGACCTAGTGTGCATAACATAATTACAATGTTATCTGTAATTTTATCTTTTATATAAATTGTTTGATTATCAGACTTGTTCTTTTGAAATCCAAACTTTGCATAGCGTGTTTTGAAACAAGGTGTAAAGTTGGGCGAGTTGGTTGATGGTCATATTGTCACGGATGACAAGTGATGAGGCGACGAAAACTGAAGTAAACTAAACGTTTAATGGGGGCGAACTTGTGCCCAAATTCATAAAAGGAAAAGGAAACAGAAGAAAGCAGGAGAGCGTCGCGGGCGTCGATGTCGGCGAAACCGCAGGATCAAGCGCTGGGGGCGAGACTGAGCCCGGTTCGCCACGCGGCGCCCCTTATGTACTTACATGCGTGAGCTTCTGGTATAATCGGCGTAGAATGTTTGACGCGTAGAACATTCGGACCCCAAACATGATTTTCGAATCTACCAGAAAACTAAATTGCAGGAATAACAAAAGATGTGGCGCTGCCAGGAATTGAACCCTGGCTTCTCGCGTGGGAGCCAGGAAGGATAACCGCTAGGCCACGCGCGCTTTTTTTTTTTTATTGTAAAAGGACGGCTATTTACATGGGTAAAAAAAACTGCACAGAACAAATTCAGAGCGTCTCAGTAGTAGGGCAACCTAGCACATTCACAACTCCCAACAGCCGAACTCTGGCATTTGCAGCCGTGTACGTAAATAAGGGAACTTGGATGGCCTCCACGCCTAAGCGTTTTTAGCGATTTGCAATCGCGACTTCCACACCGTCCAGCACTCTAGGTCAGGCTGTAGCGTGGCCTCTAGCAGAGAGTCAACATACATGAAGCCGTCAATGAAGTGGCGCCATGCCGGCTTGCCCCCCTCCACCACATGCAAATGATCGGTCCTCAACCTCCATAGTGCCTGCAGCCCAAGCAGGGCAAGGACTTCCCAGGCTCTGCTGTTCGGACCTGACCCGAACTCTAAGAATTTCACTTTTTTCCAGGTCATATACATGTCTATCCGCAGCACAGCTCTAAGTTCGGCCCAAAACAACTCTGCATCTGTACAATACAGAAAAACGTGTTCAAGGGTTTCTAACAACGGGCACAGCGCGCAGTTCTGAGACCAAGGTACAAAAAAACCTTTCTTCGCCGACCAAGTCTTCACGGGTAACACCCCCCAATGAAGACGTACAAAAAAATTCTTTGTCCCTACTCTCACTGGATACCGCCGAAGACGCTGGAAGACATTGGACTTAATGACACCTCTGGCACTCATACGGTACAAAGGAGGAGGCGTCAGGGAATCGAGCGTATCCCAGTACAATTTTTTCTTTTTCACCTTTTGAAGATACTCCCTTGAATACCTTGTTTCGAAGAACTCTATTGCGGCCGCTATTTCTTTGCAAAACTTTAGCACCCGGGACCGGGCAGATACTGATACATCCTCTATCCATGATCTCAAGAAGGATCCTCCAAGATCTCTGAAGGATGACAAAATAAGGCAATTCTTCTGATCCCTAAAGAACAGGAAACGCTGAACCAAAAGTTTCAGTTCAACATTCACCAAACCGATCCCGCCCATTTTTTGGCTTAAAAAAAGGTTGTTGCGTCGCATGCGTTCAAAGTTAGACTCCCAGACAAAGGTCGCGAATAGGCGTTGAACTTTAGCAATGTCAAGGGACGCACACGGCACTACCTGCGCTGTGTACCACGCGGTCGGTAAAAGAACAGAGTTACAGACATAGGCCCGATGCATCAACGAGGTGTGCCTACCATAACAGTCTATCATTTTAGACCGCAAGCGGAGCAAGTCCATACCGCCACGGCCCGTGCTTAGCTGCTCAACATCTATGCACACACCCAGATACTTTGATACACTCGATGTCCATGGGATGCCAAGAAAGTTCTCGGGCTTAGAGTCCCAGTGGCCCAGCCAGGCACCCGCAGATTTGTCCGGGTTCATTTCTGCACCCGAGGCTGCGCAGAAATCACTTATGTGCTGCACAACTTCCTGCACTTGAGTTGCCGACGAACACACCACCGCCACATCGTCT